TAGTTATCGTACTTCAGTATATTCTTGCTAGAAATTTTGTTTGGGTCGCAAGAATTATTTGATGTGCGAAATTAAACTTTTCATCATTTAAAATAATGCTAATTTTTGCATTTTACGAACAGAATTATGCATTTTATTAATTAGTCTAATATCTCGTCCTGTATCTCCCTCCATTGTTCCTGCAAACTTTACACGACGTTATTCCTGTCATTGAAAATTGATTGCGTATATGAACTTAAAACACCGTAACAACGAACCATTGTTTTGTTACGTAACTTCTGTACAGTAATTAGTTTTATCTGCGCTAATCTAATATGATTAATTGTTAGATGTTATACGTATATATGCACATTGGATGGAGAACCAATAATTGACAGGACGTTTACCTCTAGGCGTGAAATTGGCCCCTTTCGGAACACCGAAAATCGTTTTTTATTTCCTACGATAGTTTACGATCTCCTGGCGAACTAATTGCTCATTGGTACCGTTATAATTGGACAATTGATTTTAAAATGTCGTAACCGTGTAGATAATGAAGTTTTTAAATTTCGTCCTTAACTAAAAGTGATTGTAAATAAATTATGACCTGTACTACTTCACGATATAGTAGTTTTAATTCTTGAGAAAATATAACTTTTTGAGTAAATATCAGTAGATAAAGTTGACCTTAGTAACTACTATACTAGTTGAATTAAGGATAATTAAATTGAGGGTGTCGGTAGGTAAATTATTGTGAACAAAACGATGGGCTGATGTTGTTACATTTATTAACTGTCAAATTTTCGTCAACATTCTTGGCTTCATCAGGAGATCAATGTTGTAAATTAAATTTTTATAGGCATAAATAATGTAACTGTAGACTGGGAATGAATTATATATATATATATACGTTAAATTTTTCAAAATTTTTAATTCATTCGTTCCCATAGGTTTACGTTACTGCCTCTAATATGTCTCCGACTAGACCTTCATCCCTGAGAAGGTGTCCTCGTAACCTATCTCGCCTATTCCTTATTGACTTCCAAAGAGTTCTCTGTTCTCCGTTTTTTCTAATACCTCTTCATTTCTAACCTTCTCTACCCACGATATCCTCATCATTCGCCTGTAACACCACATTTCGAACCCTTTTAACTTTTTCTTTTCCACCGCGCCCACTGTCCGTATTTCGCACCCATACAACACCATGCTTCAAACATACATCTTTAACAACCTTTTTCATATTTCTAAATTAATCGTTCGCGAGCATAGAAGTGACTTCTTTTTATTAAAGGTGACACGACCCTGCGCTATCCTCCGGTTTATATCCCTACTACTCTTTCCGTCCTGACTTATCTGACTTCCTAGATACCTAAAATCGGCAAATTCTTCTGATTTTTGGTCTACTATCTTCATATTCGCTCTTTCCCTACTTTTTCTTTTTTCCCTTGCACACCAGTATTTAATTATCTTTGATTCAACTAGTACGGTAGTTACTAAGATCAACTTTATTTATAATGATGTATTGAGAAGACATAGATTGTAAAATTAATATCGAGAGTTATTGCGGAAATATTTTCTAAGGAAATTAAGTATAGTGAGTAAAAGAATAGTGAGAACGATCACGTTATGTGTTCATCAACTATGTAACGTTCGACCATTGTTCAAGTGGCGGAAAATAGACTCTCATTTTCACAATCACCAGCTTGATACAAATATAATAAATAAGCTTTCCCTTATGAAAAATGAGCATTATGTCTGCATTTACACTGTCGACAAGAAGAGAAAATGAAAGTCCTATATTGTTTAATTTGGCTAGTCCTATATTTACAACATTGTAAAAGTGCAGAAAAAAATTTTCAAAGTATTAAAGGACCAGAAGACAATTCATCCCCCAGGTTCTCCCCTATAGTGAAACTATTAAAGAAGGTAAGTGATGCAATTTTAGTTATTATCCTGGTTTCTATTAATGATCAAGTTCAATTTTCAGTAGAATACATATACTTAGATACCTATTCGTAAAGAGATAAGAAGTAGCTTTGTCTGTAATCTGTTTTAATCAAAAATGAGTACATACTTATAATTCAAATTATTTAAGTAAATGTATCATAATTATTGCAAGAAACTCTAAATTTTGGTTCTAAATCTATACTGTCCATCATACACAGTATTAACGATGAATATTTTTACTAAACTCCCTCTACATGTTAGCAACATAAAAATGATCAAAATGAGCGTAAGATTTCAACTACACATAATAGATAATAATTGTAAATAAATACTGGGTGATTATACCTAAAACAAACATCCTTGTAAACAACTTTCAAAACGAAGAAAATGAAAAACGAAAATTTAAATAAATTTGTAAAAAATCCAATCCCAGCAGAAATAAATTTACTATGTATTTTAGTTGATACTACAAATTTAATTGTAATAATTAAGAAACTTGAAATAATTTTCAAAGGAACACGTCAAAATTAAGATTATAACAATAATAACCTAATAAATTCTACTATTTCTACGGCAAATTCGGTCATTTATAATCTAAAATTGTAATTTTTGCTTTGCCATAAAAAATTAGTTTTAAGTACACATGCCAACATGCGGCCGATTGTCCCGCACTCATTTTTTCAGAAATGATTAATTTAATATACAATTGCAGGTAGATATTTCTGCAACCTTATACAAGCACTACTTTCGAATTACTATTGAGTATATATTAGGGTGCTTCAAACAAAATCTTTAATTTTTTTTTTCAAACTCTTACCCCCTCAAATGTTTCTATTTGATATAAAAAAAATCCTCGCCAAACATGAGCCCTATAGCTCAAATTCAAGGAGTAGCTATTTTATTTTAGTTTCCCATTTAATTAACATAGAAAAAATTCTTTTTTGTTTTAAATTGAATTTACACATAATTTACGCAATTTTTTCCAA